ATAAGACAAGATAACACGTCTAAGCAACACTACCCAAAAGAGGTATTACGCAAGGTTTCTTTTTTGCCTATTTTTATATTTATGTAGATTTTTAAAATTTAAAAATAAAAACGGGGGGGAAATAAGTATTATGCAACATTACCTCACTTTCTTACACTGACAGTAGCACGCTGTGGTACCCCGCTGGTTCGCGACAGTGGGGGGAAAAAGTTCAAATACGAGACACCATCAAACAAAGAATGAATCAAACGCTATCAGAAGAGGAACAGTCTGTGCTTTTTTGGAACAAAGTGTCACAAAACCACTTCCTGATTGTGAATGAGACAGGGGTGTCCAAGAAACCACACAACTTTCATAAAATACCACCCACTCAGCTTTATCCTGCCACACCAGCAACGCAGGGCTGTTTACTCGGCCTACAATGAAACAGATGGTGCAGAGCAGTGAGCACTTCCACTTGAGAATAAATAAATAGCGTTTTGTTTTGGCTTATACCGCCTCCAGCTCTCCGCCGCGACCCGTGGACTGACGCCAACTAGGGCAGCAGATACACACACTCGCTACTATTTTATTTCCCCTATTGTCCCGTATTGTTTTACTAACTTCCTGGAAATCCTAGTTAGCAAGTGCAGGTAATTCTCTTTTCTAAATGTAGCTTTGGGGGGGTTCGCGAGCCAAATGAGTAGAGTGTTATCCGGTCTAGACATGCTTGAGGGGAGCTATGATGTTAGCGTATTGATTAGCGGGGAAAAACGCAGCTAAATGTCACAGAATGAACCGGAGATGGGAACATAAAATCGGATGCACTTTCTCTGTCCGTCTGAAAGCTACAGTTTCCAGTTTGAATGTCAACAAGTCTCACTCCTGGTCATTCCAAGTGAGTGAAACTAGACTCCACATGCGTATGGTCTTGCATGCAATGTTCCACAGTCTTCAATGTATCTATCGCCGTGGAGACAAGAGGGTGATAGTACTAAGTAATTGGTGAGATTTGTGGAAAGAAAAGACTGTTGAAAACAAAATATGCATGGTTCTGGAGGAAATTTTTAAGAATAAAAACATCTGTAATTAAATGAATGCAATACAGACTTAATTTAATGCCTTTTATGGAACATTACAGGTAAAGCAGGTCGCATAAACCCACCAGAAAAGTTACACAGCGCACCTTTAACATGTGACAGTAAGTCTTTAAGTTCAATTACCTGATTTAATTTCATGGGTAATTAAATACCATTTCTGTAACAATATCCAAATGTACTTATTTGAAAAATGGGAGACCAATGCTCTTTGTATCTTGTATCTTGACAGTTAAACGGTTAGTCAACCATGTGCTCTTTCAGATAATGGGCCAAATAGAAATAAAATTTCTTCTGTTACAATAATTATTACAATGCTATAGGTACTATGTGGTCATGCAGATTTAAGGTTAGGGCTGTGCAAAAGTATCGAAATATCGTATCGGGGCTGCTGTATCAATATATATTGCCAAGAGTATTTTTTGGTGTATTTTGTTAAATTATTTTGTTACAGCTACAGTTTTGTTGCTTGTTTGAAGGAAGGAAACTCATTTATGCAACACATCTGACATTTTCACTGTTCTGATGATTAAAATGTTTAAATGTTTGTGTTTCATATGAACTTTGCACAAGAAGTGGTTTCACAAAGACTTTTAGAATCACAGCCATGATGTAGTTTTTTGGTTTTTTTTAATTGAACCGTATCGAATTGATTTGAAATAGACTGTATTGAATTGAAATTGCACTGTATCGAAATATCTGTCATATCGTGGCCTATGTATCGATATGTATCGTATCGGCAGCTTCTTAATGATCCTCAGCTACATTGATACTGAAACTAGTACTGAAACTATGCTCATTTGAGAAAGTAGATCAAATTAATAGGACGGTGTTATTTGAAATAATCTTGACCTATATCAGAACTAGTATAAGATATTGAATAAAAGGCTATTGTGATAAAACTATATTCTAGTGTATAAAAACATCATTGTTGTATCAAAAGTGAAATTGAGTTTGACATTTTAATACTGTGATGATAGTTTTAAAGTTAGAAATCATCTAATTGTTAGCTGCACTTAAGCATTGTAATTTTCCCCTTAATTCTACCATGCTGAAACACCAAAACAGTGTATCAAAACATTGACTTAAAGATAAACTTTTGATTATAATTTTGCACAACTGATGCAATTAACTTGGCCTGGAGGATTACTGGATCTTACACTGATGCAACATTGGACTGTGCCAGCATCTTTATATGGGCACAGTTCAAAAGAAAAACTTGTGTCTGGGATTACCCACAGCCATGCAGGTGTTGAGTTAAACAGCGAGAGTATCAAGTGATTCAGCGATTGGCACAGATCCTACTATACCCAGCGTGCCACTGCGGGCCTGCCTTGCCAACCTTAGCTTTTGGGATCAACGCCATCAAATTACGATTACGCATTTTGTCCCAGCATGCAACGGTGAACTTGGTACATATTTGTTCTTTTGATTATCTCAACCTCAGACCGCAATTGTTTATATTTGCGAATGTGTGTGCAATCGAGCAGAAACTGGACTGGATGATGGACAGATGGAGGTGGGAGGGGATAAAGATAGGAGGATACAGGCGGGAAGTGTATCACAAGCTACTAAAGGTTGATTAATGATGTACTGCTCCTCAAGTAAACTATTACGTAACATTTTTTATAAAGGACTCATGTGTATTTGTTTAAGATTAAAGCGGGCCTATTATGTAAAATCAACTTTTTCGAGCTTTTGACCATGTTATAATTGTTTCCCGTCACCATTTACTTCTCGCTCTGTGTTTGGAGTGATTCGTGCATGTTTGAGTAATCTTTAATCGCTTATTTTCATGACGCCATATTGACGATCAACACCCATTTTCACCATCGCTGGTAAACGCCCACTGCTCTCTTCTACTTTCTAGGTTCTCCAGTTTCATTTTCTAAACCGGTGATAGTCATATTTGTACAAATGAAAAAAAATTAAAATCTGGCAGTCGCTAGTGTGATCTGCAGCGATCTATATGAGGTGCAGACTCTTTGATGTGTTGACTTTTGATGTCAGCTCACATTTTTTAATAACACGGAAGTCAACAGACTAGTTTCTTTTATTGAGTTGTTTTAGATGAATATTGGTCTTCTTTACACAACAAACAGTCAGTCAGTTGGTGCAAACATTAGACAATATTGTTGAAAAAGGCTGTGAAAAGAGGAACATCTTGCAGCAATATTATGCAACTTGTAGAAAACAAAGTGAACCACAGCAGAGGATTCAAAAGTGGAATAGAGAACTGCTAGTTGTCTGTCAAACGTCAAAAATAAGTAGTTTTTCGAGTAAATTTCTGTTCTTGTGGGGGAAACATCATTTGTAGTTCTTTATAATTGTGCATAATTATGTTAAAAAGTAAAGTACCTACCACACGTCAGAAGACCTAATTAATCTACACGACAGCTTACTTTATACTGCAAATGTCTTTTTTTCCAAGCTAAATTTAAGTTAATTAGATATGCAAGACTAAAATTTACATATATTGAGCTGATATTTGCACGTTTCAGAGTTTCAGTTTTAAATCTAAATCAGACGCCGATATATTGTTTAGGCTAATCAGCTACTTAAAGAATCTGCATAAACCTTTAACTTAACACTTCTAATTTTGTGCAGTACCCTCTTTGCACTGGTTTGTATTGAAATAATTAAAACTAAATCATATTATTTGGGGAATATAATCAAAATCAGTCCTACTTATTGCCTCAAAAAATAACGGCAGAGTTTATCGGCTAAATCTGTCCATCTCCACTAAAAACTCTACACCATTTATACACACGCCCTGGACGAAGACTGGTATTGGTGTACACTGTGTCATCTAATGTTAGCTTCTAGCCAATTATTGCACTATTTGTATGTTTAGCAGGTCAGCACGGGTCAGTAACCTAATTTGAACTTTCAGTACTCAAGCCAAGTATTACGGTCATCCTGTCGTATTCTTCACTAGCTGCTAATTGCACTTTTGATGGGCCCATATTACTCCATTTTGTGATTTGTTATAAAGTTGTTTCCTCATCAAAATCATACCTGGAGTTATGTTTTGTTTTATTAACATGTTTAATTCACAAATCCTGCATGTTTAGGCTGAGTTCTTTGAGTCTGTTCCACTCTGTGATGTCATGTGGTGATACAGGAAGTGCTCCACAGTGCTTTTAAACTCTATACACACCTTCACTAGAATCATTTGAATAGTTTCAGCTTGGGAATCGCCAATCACTACTGCAGAAAACATAAAAAAGTAGCTGTTAACTTGAAAACTTCCACTTCATGACATCATGAGGTAGAACAGAGCATTTTCAGGTTTGGGGATCTAGAAAGACAAATAATGCAGGGTTACTCAAACGTGCAAATGAAACAAAACACAACTCCCAGTATGTTTTTGAGGAGGAAACAACGTTCTAACATGGCTTAAACCTCACAAGAAGTAATTTTGTTTAACATAGGAGCTTTAATAGATTTTACCCAACTGTAATAACCTAACCTAAACCTTGGACCTAAACAAACCCACACATGTGCTAATAGGTGTGCCTGATACTGTAGCGCGCCTCCACTTGGCCTGTGTGCTGCGTGAGGTCAAGGCCGACATATAGACAGTGCATTAACTCAGTGTACAGGCTCAACCCTGAAACCAAATCTGGCGTGTGCACCTGTGGAAATCAGACACTGTGTTGCAGCACGGAAAAATAAAACCTAGCCCCTCCCCTCGCCCCCACCCCCATCCCGACAGCCTTTTGACTCCGTGTCACTGTCCAGGTACCACGGTAACTATACACGCACGGGTCCCATTGATGTCTCTTCACAGGTCCGCTAAATACAGTATGTGCGGAAACATGAGTATGAAGTGCATGGGACAGAGGGGGTGCTGACGGGAGGAGGAAGGGGGTGTCAGGCTGCAGTTTTGGGGCAGAGGGGGTCAGGGAGAGGGGGTCCTACCTTGGTGGTCTTCTGTCTTCCGCTGTTCAATGTTGTTTCTTTACATTTGCTCCCAGCGCTCATCCAAACACAGGCTGTTGGGCGGAGCTGTAATCAGAGGACAGCGTCAGTAATTCCTCCACACTGTATATTTGCCAACAGCAGAGTGAAAACATAGTCCGGGCCAAGCAGTCCAGAGCGTGAACCGGCTTAAAGGGTGACCCGCGAGGAGGAAATGGTAGCGCTAGTCGAGGGGAATCCACATGGCCACTGATGCATGCATGTACTGCCAAGTGAGGGATGACAGGGGCGGAGTCTGAGCCGGCCTACAGGGAAAAACCCCGAAGGAGGTGCGAGGTTTTCTGCTCTATGCAAACCAGTGCTAGATTTTCATGTGACCAGCTTACCGCTAAATGGCTTAGCAGTCTAATCCTTCAGCCAAATGAAGTGTCTAACTTAAGGCTTAGGCTGGCCAGAGGAATCAAAGGGAGTTTTACCCCCAGCCTAACCTGATATCCAAACGGATGCTCTGTGTAAAGTGTCTCTTTATAGAACTAGGGTCAGCCCACATTTTATAGTTTTTAAAATATTTTCTTGGTTCAAATGTTACTGCTATGCACTCACTTCTACAAACTCACCTCTGATTTTAACATATTGAGTCAGCTCGTTTTCAGCTTGTCTATTCAGCCTATTAATAATTTTATGACTTGGCGCCGCTCCAAAACAAAATGGCTATGACTTTTATGACCATCTAGAGTGTCAAGCAGTGGTTTTTAGAAACCAGTTTCCGAAGGACTCAGTCGCCCAGTTCATCTCCAAAGCACATAAAACGTAGCCGCAAAACTCTCACCAAAATGTTAACAAGGGTCTCAGTTCAGGTTTAGCACAGATGGGTGAATGGATAGGGCTTAAGTGTGGCCATGTGCTTCTATTTCTGTCTCTCTTCAGAGTCTGAATGTAAAGAATATGTTGTGATGCATATAAAATATGACGCAGTATTGTGTCCTGAAGTCCACCTCAGTCATGGAGTAAGAGGGCTTCCCTCAGGGTTACTGCAGGACAATACGCACGGACATCTGCTATGACATGTGCGCAGGAAGACAGAGATGAACCCGCTCACAGCGCACTGTAACCACTACATGTACTATATATCTGTACTGTGTATATGTACAGTCTACTGTAATTTTACATTAACACAAAGTTCAACAGAGGTGAGTGATTACTTTGTTTACATTGATCATTCTATTGATTAAAAACCTAATAAGAGTCCATGACAAACCAGTGATGAAGGGAAATGAAGGGTTGACAAATTATCTGATAATCAAACATGATATTGAGTAATGATTACATAATAATCGTCTGTGTTTGTGGCCTACATTCTCCACCTTGTGTCATCATCCGCTGACCTTTTGCCAAGTAGATCAATTACATTTTTATTTTCCTCTCTGACTTGGCAGGCGGAGCACATTGGGCCACTCCTATCTCACACCAGGACTATAATAAAAGAATTCATCTGGAATGCTCCTTCACAAAGGGTTTGGCTGCCATTCGCTCTATGCAAAACAACCTAAAAGATCACAGATTGTTAGATCAAGTCCCTTATTTGGACTAAATTTGACTTAATTTGACATTTAGAGTCATGTTAATCTAATGTTTTCAAGCCAAGTTTCAACAGAAACAGGCAACGGTAAAGCAGTCAACATTTCAAGGAATTATTCAGATACACATTTGAGGCACTGCAATTAGACATTAGATTTTGAAAGTAAAGCAAATCCTCAGCAACTGTCAAATTCTTCTTCAACTGTAACACTAAAATTGTATTTCAGAACATCCGTAGTAAATTCTACTTTCACTTTTCCATTAATTAAAGGTGCATTGTGTAACTTTTGAGGTGGAGGGTCTGCAACCTACCTTTTCTACAGTATGGAAATAAACTTTGCTATCAGAATGGAGATAAGTTAATGGTCATATCTATGGAGAAGCAAGCCTGCACATGGTAATTCCCATATTTTATGGGAATTTTTGAGCTATATAACCCTTGTAAATGCAAGGCAGATATGTTTAATGCCATACTGTGGAACATTCCATATAAAGAAATAACATGCGAAGTACCTTGGTGCAACTTTAATCCCCATTTTAAGATTTAACAGTCATTGATCTGAACATCAAATCTACTTCAGCCTACACATTCTGTCTGTATTTTACATGAGTGCATTGTCATTGGGTGGTCCATTACTCACAGTCATAAGGCCTGAGGTGAGTGACCCTTTTAGCATGAGCGTTTGTTTGTATGATCCAATATCGTTATGGCGATCCACTGTATCCATGCATCTGATTTGCAGGGCTAATCCATATGCTAAGCCCGCACTCAGAGGCTGGGGAGGGATAAATATGCAGAGGCACATGCAGTCGGATAAGAGGCCCAGCTGCTCCAAGGTGCGCCTCCACCTGCAGCGCCACACACCACAACTCAAGACACCAATTTGTACGAGTCATGCTGTCATCATATTTCATATCAGCGAATCGATATATCGAGCCCAGACAACAAAATGGGCATAAGAATTGACTTAAAGGTGCACTATGTAACTTTTTTGGTACAGGGTTGTCTGCATGGAGATTTTATTGCGTCAAATGGCACTGAATCTGTGGAGAGGCAAGCCTACTCACAGAAAGAATCCATGTTTTTAAGGTATTTTTGGCAATAATAAAAATGCTTGTAATTGAATACTGTAAATTCACGATAGATCGTTTATCTAGAATTGTTGAAAATTCCAGGCAAACTAATAATATTTGTATCAATATTAAAACTGGTCAGTAATGATAAGAAAAGTAACACATTTTCAGTTTGATCTGCTCAGTATAGGTAAAAAAATAAATAAATAAAAAAAGCTTGATTCAGATATTTCTAGCACAATGTCCCTTTCTCAAACCTATTTTAAGTTTTATTTTTGCTGTTAATGTAACCCAGCCAACAAAAGTATTCAAGTCACACTGTTTCACATGCCATTCTAAAGTCTTTGTATATCTGTAGGGGAGGGCATCTGGCTTTGAAATATGATAGACGGCTAGATTTGTTTTGATCCCGGTTTGAACCAAATTTAGCCTGGATGTAGACTTGGTTTGGTCCGGTTCTGGTCCTGGTTTAGTTCCTGGTGTAGTCCCACTTTAGTCCCATAGACTGAACAAGGCTCTACAATAATGTCAATACACAAACAATGGGGCCAAGTCAATTATCCCAATACACTCCATACAACTCAGCACCAAAGCCTTTTCAAAAAGGAAACAATGGGGGAAATACAGTAGAGCTCCATTCACGCATAACAATCAGGTAATGATGATGTCGCTTCACTTTTCAGGGAGGTCACATGTCTCAGAGTTAGCTGGTCGTCATGGATACGGTGCAGTTTCTCTCCACTGAGGCAGAGCGGATGTGACAGGCGCAAAGAGAGCACAGGTGCCTCTGTCATGGTGGAGTTTTGTCAGAGGAAAAGACAGTGGCTTTCAAAATAAAAGTCTAGATTTTTTTTATTTTCAATCAAGTGATCTGTGTTGGATTTTTTGGAACAATTTGCAGTTTAAAAGGTCCTATATTACACAAAACTGACTCTTGAACCTCCTCATAAACATACCTCGAGTTGTGTTTTATTTCATTCACACATTTGAGTAACCCTTTATTATTAGTCTGCTCATTTTACATTTAGTTCAGTAAAAGATTGGCATTTCCAGGGCTGAAATGATCACAGTGGAGCGCTTCCTGTATTACCTAGGGATGTAACGATATCCAAGTCTCAGAATACGATATTGTTACGGTATGAACCTCATGATATGATATTTATTGCAATATTGTGGGAAAGCTCACGACATGGTGGGGAGGCTCACGATTAGGGATATACCAATATCCAAATCTCTCGGTATGATATTTTCATGAAATACATCTCACGGTACAATATTTATTTGCGATATTTTGTGGAGACAAAACTGTCAGTATGCTACTTTTTACTCTTAAAATGCCTCGACAAGACTTAATCCAAAGAACTATGACTTAAAAGTGCTTAAAACTGTTATTTCTTCATAGTCTGCATTGAAATGGAGCAAAGGATCATGGTCTATGTAGTTCCCTCTTTCTTTTTTTTAGCTATTGCTGCACCATAACTCTTCATTTAAGCAAAGAGACTTGTAATTCTATATATTGTGATGGTCCACGATATTATTTTGAGAACTTTGACGATACAATATCACGATATTTTGGTTATTGTTACATCCCTAGAATCACCACATGACATCACAAGGTGGAACAAAGCATTTTCAGCTTGTAAGAAGAGCTCAGCCTAAATATACAGCATTTGTGTTTTCACATATGTGAATGAAACAAAACACAACTCCAGGTACGTTTGCGATGAGGAAACAACATCAGAAAATAATATAACATGGGCCCTTTAACTGTCACATGCCGTAGATTTGTTAGCATCACGACATATAAATATTTCTTTGTTTTGTTTTCCTAGTTGTGTCCTCAGTCAAACCCTATAGGCACAAATAACTCACCACAGCTACGCATGCCTATATATGGACACTATAGTCTTGTGCCATGCTTAAATAACACATAATTTCATGGTTCAATAGATGGTTACAGAAGATTTGTCTAGACCTCTTCATGCAGCTTGTAAACGCATTAGGAGCGATTTTATCAAAAGAAACCTACAGTATATATGAGAACAATGTATATACGCAATGTAATCCCACACGTGTAATTTCATTTAAGCACATTTTCCCCGAAGTGATTGCGCTAAACTGAATTAAATGTTTAGATTGAATTGAAGGAAAGAGATATCCTCAAAACTGCTCTGAGAAAACAATTAAGAGTATAGGAGACGGTTTTACAACGAGAAGTAGTGCAACAAGTTAATTTCTTCATTAATCTTGTTGGTATGGTGGAGGAAGCAACTGTGAAGTAAACAAAACTTTCTTAATTGGCACTATGGAAAATGTCTGCCAGTTAACATGCTGTTAGCACACTGTTAGCGTCACTGTTAGCGTCACTGTTAGCATCACTACTTCCTGAGTTACATTAAAATTAATAAAAAGATCAATAAATTAATGAGACTATA